AGACCAGTATGGGGCATTAGATTTGTAAAATCTTTGACCACATTTATTTATTTGTTATGCCGAATCTAACCGTGTATTTAGATTTTTAATTTTGGGTCCAGTTTTCAAATTGGTCTACATTAAGGTCCAAAGGGTCCAAAATTAAACTTTGTTTGATTTTAACAAAAATTGAATATATGGGGTTCTTTGATATGCTGAGTCTAAACATGAATTGAGATTTTTGATTTTTGGCCCAGTTTTCAAGTTGGTCCAAATTGGGGTCCAAAATTAAACTTTGTTTGATTTCAACAAAAATTGAATATATGGGGTTCTTTGATATGCTGAATCTAACCATGTATTTAGATTTTTTATTTGTGGACCCCGCTATCAAATTGGTTCATATTGACGTCAAAAGGGTCCAAAATTAAACTTTGTTTGATTTCATCAAAAATTGAATTATTGGGGTTCTTTGATATGCCAAATCTAACCGTGTATTTAGATTTTTAATTTTGGGTCCCGTTTTTTAAATTGGTCTACATTAAGGTCCAAAGGGTCCAAAATTAAACTTAGTTTGATTTTAACAAAAATTGAATTCTTGGGGTACTTTGATATGCTGAATCTAAACATGTGTTTAGATTTTTGATTATGGGCCCAGTTTTCAAGTTGGTGCAAGATAGGGTCCAGTATTTAAACTTTGTTTGATTTCAACAAAAATTGAATATATGGGGTTCTTTGATATGCTGAATCTAAACATGTATTTAGATTTTTGATTATGGGCCCAGTTTTCAAGTTGGTCCAAATTGGGGTCCAAAATTAAACTTTGTTTGATTTCAACAAAAATTGAATATATTGGGTTCTTTGATATGCTGAATCTAACCATGAATTTAGATTTTTTATTTGTGGGCCCCGCTATCAAATTGGTTCATATTGAGGTCAAAAGGGTCCAAAATTAAACTTTGTTTGATTTCATCAAAAATTGAATTATTGGGGTTCTTTGATATTCCAAATCTAACCATGTATTTAGATTTTTAATTTTAAGTTCCGTTTTTTAAATTGGTCTACATTAAGGTCCAAAGGGTCCAAAATTAAACTTAGTTTGATTTTAGCAAAAATTGAATTCTTGGGGTTCTTTGATATGCTGAATCTAAACATGTGTTTAGATTTTTGATTATGGGCCCAGTTTTCAAGTTTGTCCAAGTTGGGGTTCAAAATTAAACTTTGTTTGATTTTAACAAAAATTGAATATATGGGGTTCTTTGATATGCTGAATCTAACCATGTATTTTGATTTTGGACATTGGACCATAATAGGTAAATTAAAAAAATTCAAGTTCTTAGACCACATTCTTTCTGTGTCAGAAACCTATGCTGTGTCAAATATTTAATAACAATCCAAATTCAGAGCTGTATCAAGCTTGAATGTTTTGTCCATAATTGCCCCAACTGTTCAGGGTTCGACCTCTGCGGTCGTATCAAGCTGCGCCCCAGCGAAGCATTTTATTAAAAATCTTTCTACCAATAAATTTTATTATATGGTTTACTGCTTTATAATATAATACATTTAACTTAGTTGTTTTCAACTCTCTGCTATGGGACGTCAGAACTGTCTTATTATGTACATTTTCATTAACCCCTTTGACCCCAATCCCGCCTGTAGTCATGATGGAAACCTACATTCTTTGATGGCCCGTGTGACCCTCCATACTTTTAAGTATCACCTGGCCCAAAGGGCCAAGTAGGCTTTTCTTATCACTTGGCGTTTGTCGTCCGTCGCCCTTCGTCCGTTAACTTTTACAAAAATCTTCTCCTCTGAAACTACTTGGCCAAATTTAACCAAACTTGGCCACAAACATCATTGGGGTATCTAGTTTATAAAATGTGTCCGGTGAACCGGCCAACCAACCAAGATGGCCACCATGGCTAAAAATAGAACATAGGGGTAAAATGTAGATTTTGGCTTATATCTCTGAAACCAAAGCATTTAGAGCAAATCTGACTTGGGGTAAAATTGTACATCAGGTCAAGATCTATCTGCCCTGAAATTTTCAGATGAATCGGACAACCTGTTGTTGGGTTACTGCCCCTGAATTCGTAATTTTAAGGAAATTTTGCCATTTTTATACGACCTCAAAAAAATTATTGTGGTCGTATATTGGTATGACGTTGGCGTCGTCGTCTGTGTCGTCGTTGTCGTCGTCGTCGTCCGGCGTCGTCGCCCGAAGACACATTAGTTTTCGCACTCTAACTTTAGTTTAAGTGAATGGATCTCTGTGAAATTTTACCATAAGGTTCAATACCACAAAAGGAAGGTGGGGATTGATTTTGGGGGTTATGGTACCAACAGTTAAGGAATTAGGGGCCAAAAAGGGGCCAAAAAGGGGCCAAAAATAAGCATTTTTTAGTTTCCAGACAATAACTGTGGAACGGTGTATGGATCTCTCTGAAATTATACTACAAGTTTCCATACCACAAAGGGATGGTTAGGATTTGCTTTGGGGGGTTATGGCTCAAACCGTTTAAGAATTAGGGGCAAAAAAGGGGGGAAAACAAGGTTGTCCTGGTTAGTGGACAAATACTTTAGTACAAAACATAATTTAAAGCAGTGTAAGGGAGATAAATCAAATACATCATTGAAATTATCTCCCTTACACTGCTTTTAAATTATGTATAAAGTAATGGTTAATGAACAATTAAGATAATTTAAAACAGTGTAAGGGAGGTAATCCAAATACAACGTTTTGGTTACTTCCCTTACACTGCTTTTAAATTATGTTTAAAGAAATGCATATTTATAAAGGAAGACCAGTAAAAATATCTGCAAATGTTGCATCTTTTTTTTTTACAAAAAAATCCATATGAAAGATTTGACACTATATTTTAAATTCTATTATAAAATTGATTAAGTTAGCACTATGGTAAATTTAAATGGGTAATTATGGTTGCAAATTCCATTGGAAATTTGAATTGAGATTATGACCATATCTTGAGGGAAAGAATTTTTTGGGGTAAAAAAAGGGGGGGGGTGGGGTAAAAAGAAATTGTGGGGGGTCAATTTTTTCTCATTTCAGATTTCAGAAATTAAAAAGAATTATTCTTCAAATATTATTTTTTTTTCAAATTTCAAATATTGAAAAATTTCAAGAAGTAATCTTTAATTGCACAGTATGGCGCATTAGATTTGTAAAATCTTTGACCACAATTATTTATTTGTTATGCCGAATCTAACCGTGTATTTAGATTTTTAATTTTGGGTCCAGTTTTCAAATTGGTCTACATTAAGGTCCAAAGAGTCCAAAATTAAACTTTGTTTGATTTTAACAAAAATTGAATATATGGGGTTCTTTGATATGCTGAATCTAAACATGTATTTAGATTTTTGATTTTGGGCCCAGTTTTCAAGTTGGTCCAAATTGGGGTCCAAAATTAAACTATGTTTGATTTCAACAAAAATTGAATATATGGGGTTCTTTGATATGCTGAATCTAACCATGTATTTAGATTTTTTATTTGTGGACCCCGCTATCAAATTGGTTCATATTGACGTCAAAAGGGTCCAAAATTAAACTTTGTTTGATTTCATCAAAAATTGAATTATTGGGGTTCTTTGATATGCCAAATCTAACCGTGTATTTAGATTTTTAATTTTGGGTCCCGTTTTTTAAATTGGTCTACATTAAGGTCCAAAGGGTCTAAAATTAAACTTAGTTTGATTTTAACAAAAATTGAATTCTTGGGGTACTTTGATATGCTGAATCTAAACATGTGTTTAGATTTTTGATTATGGGCCCAGTTTTCAAGTTGGTCCAAGTTGGGGTCCAAAATTAAACTTTGTTTGATTTCAACAAAAATTGAATATATGGGGTTCTTTGATATGCTGAATCTAAACATGTATTTAGATTTTAGATTTTTGGTCCAGTTTTCAAGTTGGTCCAAATTGGGGTCCAAAATTAAACTTTGTTTGATTTCAACAAAAAATGAATATATGGGGTTCTTTGATATGCTGAATCTTACCATGTATTTAGATTTTTTATTTGTGGGCCCGCTATCAAATTGGTTCATATTGAGGTCAAAAGGGTCCAAAATTAAACTTTGTTTGATTTCATCAAAAATTGAATTATTGGGGTTCCTTGATATGCCAAATTTAACCGTGTTTTTAGATTTTTAATTTTGAGTCCCGTTTTTTAAATTGGTCTACATTAAGGTCCAAAGGGTACAAAATAAAACTTAGTTTGATTTTAACAAAAATTGAATTCTTGGGGTACTTTGATATGCTGAATCTAAACATGTGTTTAGATTTTTGATTATGGGCCCAGTTTTCAAGTTGGTCCAAGTTGGGGTCCAAAATTAAAAATTTGTTTGATTTCAACAAAAATTGAATATATGGGGTTCTTTGATATGCTGAATCTAAACATGTATTTAGATTTTAGATTTTTGGTCCAGTTTTCAAGTTGGTCCAAATTGGGGTCCAAAATTAAACTTTGTTTGATTTCAACAAAAATTGAATATATGGGGTTCTTTGATATGCTGAATCTAACCATGTATTTAGATTTTTTATTTGTGGGCCCGCTATCAAATTGGTTCATATTGAGGTCAAAAGGGTCCAAAATTAAACTTTGTTTGATTTCATCAAAAATTGAATTATTGGGGTTCTTTGATATGCCAAACCTAACCGTGTTTTTAGATTTTTAATTTTGGGTCCCGTTTTTTAAATTGGTCTACATTAAGGTCCAAAGGGTCCAAAATTAAACTTAGTTTGATTTTAACAAAAATTGAATTCTTGGGGTACTTTGATATGCTGAATCTAAACATGTGTTTAGATTTTTGATTATGGGCCCAGTTTTCAAGTTGGTCCAAGTTAGGGTCCAAAATTAAACCTTTTTTTTTTGTTTGATTTCAACAAAAATTGAATATATGGGGTTCTTTGATATGCTGAATCTAACCATGTATTTTGATTTTGGACATTGGACCATGATAGGTAAATTAAAAAAATTAAAGTTCTTAGACCAGATTCTTTCTGTGTCAGAAACCTATGCTGTGTCAAATATTTAATCACAATCCAAATTCAGAGCTGTATCAACCTTGAATGTTGTGTCCATACTTGCCCCAACTGTTCAGGGTTCGACCTCTGCGGTCGTATCAAGCTGCGCCCTGCGAAGCATTTTATTGGTAATTATCTTGAATATTATTATAGATAGAGATAAACTGTAAACAGCAATAATGTTCAGCAAAGTAAGATCTACAAATAAGTCAACTTGACCAAAATGGTCAGTTGACCCCTTAAGGAGTTATTGCCCTTTATAGTCAAGGTTTAACAATTTTTTGTAAATTTTTATACGACCGCAAAAATTTTTGCAGTCGTATATTGGTATGACGTTGGCGTCGTCGTCGTCCTGTGTCGTGTGAAGACACATTGGTTTTCGCACTCTAACTTTAGTTTAAGTGAATGGATCTCTATGAAATTTTACCATAAGGTTCAATACCACAAAAGGAAGGTTGGGATTGATTTTGGGGGTTATGGTACCAACAGTTAAGGAATTAGGGGCCAAAAAGGGGCCAAAAATAAGCATTTTTGTAACTTCCAGACATAACTTGTGTGTTAGTGTATGGATCTCTCTGACATTGTACCACAAGGTTCCATATCACAAAGGAAATGCTGGGATTAATTTTGGGGGTAATTGCCTCAAAATATTAGGAATTAGGGGCCAAAAAAGGGGCAAAAAACAAGCATTTTTCTAGTTTCATGACAATAACTTGTGTGAAAGTGTATGGATCTTTTTGAAATTGTACTACAAGGTTCCATATCACAAAGGGAAAGCTGGAATTGAGTTTGGGGGTAATTGCCTGAAACGTTTAGGAATTGGGGTCCAAAAAGGGGCCAAAAATAAAGATTTTTCTTGTTTCCAGACAATAACTTGTGTTCAAGTGTATGGATCTCTCTGAAATTGTACCACAAGGTTCCATATCACACAGGGAATGCTGGGATTGATTTTGGGGGTAATTGCCTCAAAATTTTAGGAATTAGGGGCAAAAAAAGGGGCAAAAAACAAGCATTTTTCTAGTTTCATGACAATAACTTGTGTGTAAGTGTTTGGATATTTCTGAAATTGTACTACAAGGTTCCATATCACAAAGGGAAAGCTGGAATTGAATTTTGGGGTAATTGCCCGAAACATTGAGGAATTGGGGGCCAAAAAAGGGGCAAAAAACAAGCATTTTTCTAGTTTCATGACAATAACTTGTGTGTCAGTGTTTGGATATTTCTGAAATTGTACTACAAGGTTCCATATCACAAAGGGAAAGCTGGAATTGAGTTTGGGGGTAATTGCCCGAAATGTTTAGGAATTGGGGGCCAAAAAGGGGCCAAAAAACACATTTTTCTAGTTTCCAGACAATAACTTGTGTTCAAGTGTATGGATCTCTCTGAAATTGTACTGCAAGGTACCATACCATAAAGGGAAGGCTGGGATTGAGTTTGGGGGTGATGAATCATAAAAGGGTTCAAAAAATTTGGGGGGGGGGATTTTTTTTTTTTCCTTTTTTTTCTTTTTTTCCTTTATTTTTCTTTTTTTCCTTTTTTTTTTTCTTTTAAAATTTTCCATTTTAAGTTGGTTATTTCTGATTTATATTTAAAAGCAAATAATAATGATATGGTAGGAGATACACACCAAACAGGATGTGTAAATTGTTATATTATAAGTATTGTGCAATAGCAAAAAATTTTCAATTGCACAGTATTGCACAATAGCAAGAAATCTTCAATTGCACAGTATTGCGCAATAGCAAGAAATCTTCAATTGCACAGTATTGCGCAATAGCAAGAAATATCCAATTGCATTATATTGCGCAACAGCAAGAAATTGTCAATTGTGCAGTATTGCGCAATAGCAAGAAATATTCAATTGCACAGTATTGTGCAAAAGAAGATACTTCGTATAAATTGCTTATTTCTTGACCAATTTCAATGGGGTTTTATTCTTGAATTCTTGGGGTTCTTTAATATGCTGAATCTAACCGTGTATTAAGTTTTTGGATTTTTGGGCCCTGTTTTTAAATTGGTCCACATTGAGGTCCAAAGGGTCCAAAATTAAACTTTGTTTGATTTCATCAAAAATTGAATTATTGGGGTTCTTTGATATGCCGAATCTAACCGTGTATTTAGATTCTTAATTTTTGGTTCCGTTTTCAAATTGGTCTACATTAAGGTCCAAAGGGTCCAAAATTAAACTAAGTTTGATACTAACAAAAATTGAATTCTTAGGGTTCTTTGATATGCTGAATCTAAACATGTATTTAGATTTTTGATTATGGGCCCAGTTTTCAAGTTGGTCCAAATCGGGGTCCAAAATTAAACTTTGTTTGATTTCAACAAAAATTAAATATATGGGGTTCTTTGATATGCTGAATCTAACCATGTATTTAGATTTTTGATTTTTGGGCCCCGTTATCAACTTTGTCCACATTGAGGTCAAAAGGGTCCAAAATTAAACTTTGTTTGATTTCATCAAAAATTGAATTCTTGGGGTTCTTTGATATGTTGAATCTAACCATGTATTTAGATTTTGGATATTGGACCATAATAGGTGAATGTCCAATTTAAAATTTTTAAGTTCTTAGACCACATTCATTCTGTGTCAGAAACCTATGCTGTGTCAAATATTTAATCACAATCCAAATTCAGAGCTGTATCAAGCTTGAATGTTGTGTCCATACTTGCCCCAACTGTTCAGGGTTCGACCTCTGCGGTCGTATCAAGCTGCGCCCTGGAGCATTTTATTGTAATCTTTTACAAAAATCTTCTTCTCTGAAACTACTAAGACAAATTTAACCAAACTTGTCCACAATCATCATTAGGGTATCTAGTTTAAAAAATGTGTCTGGTGACCCCGCCCCCGATGGCTGACATGGCTAAAAAATAGTACATAGGGTAAAATGCAGTTTTTGGCTGATATCTCTGAAACCAAAGCATTTAGAGCAAATATGACGAGGATAAAATTGTTCATTAGGTCAAGACCTATCTGCCCTGAAATTTTCAGACCAATCAGGCAAGAAAATTTTGCAGCTTTTGGTTATTATTTTGACCCTTCCGTCCGTCTGTCCGTCTGTCTGTCTGTCTGTCCGTCCGTCGGTCAGTCAGTCAGTCCTGTTTCTTGTCATCGCAACTCCTCTCAAACCACACAACAGAATTTCACGAAACCTTTTTAGATAATAAGGACATACTATGTAGTTGTGCATATCGACAGGAAATTATGATTCAATTTTTTTTCCAGGAGTTACGCCCCTTTGAACTTATTTGCCCAATATACTACTGCAACCTTTTGTCATCGCAACTCCTCTCAAACCACACAACAGAATTTCATGAAACCTTTTCAGATAATAAGGACATACTATGTAGATGTGCATATCGACAGAAATTACGATTCAATTTTTTTCCCAGGAGTTACGCCCCTTTGAACTTATTTGCCCAATATACTACTGCAACCTTTTGTCATCACAACTGCTCTCAAACCACACAACAGAATTTCACGAAACTTTTTTAGATAATAAGGGCATACTATGTAGTTGTGCATATCGACAGGAAATTACGATTCAATTCTTTTTCTAGGAGTTACGCCCCTTTGAACTTATTTACTTTAATGTATTACTGCAACAGTTTGTCATCGCAACTCCTCTCAAACCACACAACAGAATTTCATGGAACCTTTTCAGATAATAAGGACATACTACGTAGATGTGCATATTGACAGGAAATTATGATTCAATTTTTATACGCCCGTTTACGGGACGTATTATGGTATACTGTTGTCCGTCCGTCCGTCTGTCCGTCGTCAACATGTCGGACATTAATTCAAAAATGCTTTAACCAATTTGCATAAAACTTTGTCGAATTGTTTATATCTATTGACGTGAGCTCCCTTTCGTTTTTTATAAAATTTAGATTTTACGTTTCCGAGTTATGGGGTTTTATTCATTAAAAAAAGGGGGATTTTCCAGTTTTTGGACAATAAGTCAAGAATGCTTTCACCAACTTGCAAGAAATTGTGGTGAATTGTTTATATTTATTGACATGAGCTCCCTTTGGATTTTTATAAATTTCAGATTCTACGTTTCCGAGTTACAGGGTTTTATTCATAAAAAAAGGGGGAATTTTCCAGTTTTTCAGACAAAAACTCAAAAATGCTTTCAGCAATTCTTATGAAACTTTGGTGAATTGTTTGTATGTATTGATGTAAGCTCCCTTTTGAATTTTATAAGTTTTACATTTTACATTTCTGAGTGATGGGGTTTTATTCATTATTTTTTTTGGTACAATTTTTTTTTCTTACACTTATTTTATTTCTCCAATGACAATGTGGGGACGTGGGGTATGTGAGCGCGCTCACTAAGGCTCTTTCATTATAGATAGAAATAAACTGTAAACAGCAATAATGTACAGCAAAGTAAGATCTACAAATAAGTCAACATGACCAAAATTGTCAATTGACCCCTTAAGGAGTTATTGCCCTTTATAGTCAATTTTTTACAATTTTCATAAATTTTGTAAATTTTGTAAATTTTTACAAAATATTTTCCACTGTAACTACTGGGCAAAGATCATTATAGATAGAGATAATTGTAAGCAGCAAGAATGTTCAGTAAAGTAAGATCTACAAACACATCACTATCACCAAAACACAATTTTGTCATGAATCCATCTGTGTCCTTTGTTTAATATGCACATAGACCAAGGTGAGCAACACAGGCTCTTTAGAGCCTCTAGTTTAGAACTGCTCCAGCTGAACTGTCTTGACAGCAGGGACTTCAACTATGCAATTCATGGTCCAGTAACTCTTCTCAGACGTGTGTTTATGAAAATATGGCAACTTTAATGGCCTTTTTAGAGTTCAAAATCAGAAAAACATGAAAAGTAGCCAAAATCAGGTGGGGGTGGGAGTCTTTTGATGGCCACTATGTTATTGTTATGGGCTGTAGGTATTAACTATTATCATAAATACATGCATAGGTGGTACAGGAACACAAGGAGGTATAATACGGCCAAAAGAAATCTGGTCTGTAAAATCTAGGTCACCGTTTTGTCAGAAATCTGTAAAAACAGACTTTTGGCAGACCTGGCTTGCCAATAATAATTCCCGAGCAAGACACTCAAGTCACATGTACTTCCAGTCAGTATGGATGGACTACTGTAACTATAAGGTAATACTTGAATGACAAAGAAACACAGTTTGGTCAATGTTTACCTCTCAAGGTCGTATTAAAATCGAAAAATAGACTGAAAATGACCATTTTTCAGTAGGGGGGGTCATTGATATAATGATATGTTATAATTAGATATTCAAGTTACAATATGATTTGTATTTGAATTACCGTACTTGTCAAGAAAACTTTTCTTTATTGGAAATTACATAAGTAATGCATGGCATATGAGTCTGTTATAAAAATAGGCTCAACTACAATGTACAATCATGAACAAAGGAACTCAAATTTATAATTTGCCAAGCTAATTTCAATTCACTGTTTTATTTTAAATTCTCTAAATTGCAAAATGAAAGCAGTTTTTATCCTTTCAGTGATCACAAGCACTTTGATTCAAATATATTGTGTGATTTTACGTTTATATGATATGAAAACGACATTATATGATTTGCAATATCCTTATATTATGTCAACATTTTATTATATAATGTGCTTTTACCATCATATGATGTGACTTTGTCATTTTGTTTTGTACTTTTGTCTTTATACTTGCGGAAACCATATTATTTGATGTGCACTTGACATTTTTGATGTGTAAACAACTTTATATGATGTGTAGATGTCATTATATTATGTGCAGTCTGCTTCATATTAGTTTCATACTGCTTTATATAATGTGCGTTTTCTCTTATATGATGTGGTTCGTTTGACCTCATTACATGATCCTAAGACGTCACATGTAATTAAAGACATCTATACAATTCAATGACAGATGAGGAATTCAAATCTGATAGGATAGTAAAAATAAATTTTTGTCTCCCCTGCAACGAAAGTCGCAGAAAGCAAAAACGTATGTGTTGCTTGATGGCGGCGACGACAGAGGATGCGTCAACAATTGTTAAGTTTTCTGCTTAAGTTAGTTTGCTAGTGACTACTGGTGATAGTTCAATGATATTTTGTATAAAGTTGCATTACTATCAGTACATATCAGTTTGACGACTATTTCGAGGCTTTGCCCCCAAGGTCATGGTCCAGTGACTTTCAATTAATTTTCAAATTTTCAATGTTAATTTTTCTGCTTAAGTCTTTTTTTCCAATTTTCTGCCAACAGGCAAGACATATTTCTGTGTCAACAGTTTATTATTGCACTGCCCTTGCTTCATACTTGTTAACTTTTTAGTTTAGTAGTTTAGTAATTTCTTGAGTCTTCAGTCTTTAGTTCTATTTTCATGTATCTTTTGTAACTAGGTGAGTTTAGATTAAAGTTATACAGAGAACATTTTTTAAATCATTTACGGTCATTTAACAATACTAACAACCTTTCACTAGCTATGAGCTATTCTGTTTTACCACTTGATCAGTTTGTATAGATGAATTCAAACTGCAATTTTGGTAAATCATTTTAGCAATTGATATTGTGAAAGGGCAAAGCCTTTAGGATAAGCACAGTTAAACCATTTTTGTGTGAAATTGCATTACTATCATTACATATCA